AAACACGAATACTATACATATATCAAATAAAGCATGCCAGGAGCGAGACATCATATTCTAAAATTAAAAAAGAATCAAGCTTACATCTACCTCAGCCCTTTGAAGGGTCCCAAAAAAGAGCCTGCTGCATAACTTAGCAGCTAATATAAGTAATATGAAACTCTGAAACAAAATGACCTAAAGCAAATCATAAATCAGCTACAAGCTAAGGTTACCGCTAAGCAGGGCCGCGATTTAACTAAATATACGACTGTTGGATAGAATTGTTTTTTCTGATGATATGCATTGGTAACAACAAAAGTTGTTAAGGCGAAACTAAGGAGAGTAATAATAGCTGTGCGCATCCCCGTCAGTTTAGCACAGGCGCCAAAAAGGCAAGAGTATACGTATAATATGTATATTTAAGTAAATATATTAATAGTATAAAAATATATTTAAATAGACAAACATAATTAACGTAGAATTTACAACTCAAAATAAACTCAAAATCTTTTAAATAAGAAAGATTACTTACATTTATCAATCATACAAACTTTTTTGTTTTATTCCCGGAGGCGCGTGTTTAGAAGATGTAGTCGTTGCGATGTAATTTGGTTTAAGTGTCCTTCGTCTTTCTCCTTTATGCCGGTTCCCACTTCTCCCACTATGCCGAAATCGTGTCTTAAAGTCGCACCATGTGAGCCCTCTGAAGTTATTTCTTCAAACCCTCATGCAAAATTAGCAAGGGTTCGGATCAGCAACTGTGAACAGACAATTCCAGATGTACCTTATGATTTCTGCGAAAAAGACGTTCTGCATGACTTTCTAGTTGACTCTATTATCAAAGAATTTAAATTGCAGACATTGCGAGAAAAATCTAACTCAATGAATAAGATTACCCGCCGTAAATTATTGAAGGCAAACACCGATATTGATTCTTTTATCCTCGATAACCCTCGTGCTGTGCGATCTTCCTATGAATCATGTAGGAAAAATATCCAGAAGCACTCAGGCCATAATCACTATCTTCTAGACAATGAAGTCCATAGTGGCTTTAAGCGTCAGAATCCTAATCGGCACGACGCTGCCTATCTTTTATTGGATCTTAGCCCAATCCGTCATCGGTCCCCTGAATTAAATAATGCTACCAAAAGGGCTTATGATAACAAAGTGGCTCACGTCTCTCCTGGTCCTGGCTGTCTACGACCGATCAAGTCTTGCAATCTTTACGATTCAACTCCTTATGACCTCAAGTATCCGCATGTTTCTTCTTACTTGAGCAGTTCTGGACAAATTCGCAGACGCAGGCATTCTTATGCTCGAACCTCCCATCATTTGGCATCTAACTCCAACTTAGATACGACCAACAAAAAGAAAATAAGTAAGAGGCTCAAAGATTATGGAGAACATTACCCAATTAGCGATAGTGAGATCTCAGTTAATCACCAATCTAAAGGTCCTTGTACATCTTGCTACGAGGATAGATATTCCTCTAAATATGCAGAAGAAACTTCCAAATCGCGCATGGGTGCAACGCATAAAAAGTCGTTCACTGATTGTGAACCTAAAAACCGTTTCCGTGACCATATACAAGAGCCACTCCCAAAGAATGCTAATTCAATGCATAACCGAACTAATGATCAAAGAAACTGCATAGGTCCAAAGGCAAGTGGATTTGAATCCAAAAGAAATTCCTGGTTTGTGGGGCTGGTTCGCCGCTATGCCTTTTTCCTCCCCTGAGTTTTCATTTTAAATCTACTAAGCATGTCGTGAATTAAGGGTTCTGAGCTTGCTTGCTGTCATTTATGATCTTGTCTTCTAAAATAATATCGATACTTGTGTAAGAATGAGTGATATTTTGGTGTTTTAGGTGGTTGTTTTTCTTTATTATTTAAACTATGTCTACATTATCAGTAAACACTTT